AGAGGTGAGCGGCCACAACGCGAGTTTCTCTGGACCAGAAGATCCATTCCCTGCTGCTTGGAGGGTCGAGGTAACAGAGTGAAATTAGGGTGTGACTCACGGATTTAAGGTCGTTAATATTCTGGATGAATCACCTCGCCGCAGCCTTAATGAGGCTACTTTAGATAGCTATAGGTAAAACCACGGCGCTGAAGTAAGCCTCCGGACCCCTTGGAGGAGAGGCTGCAAGCAAAGGTGCTTATCGCTACCTCCAGTGGTTACCTTTGCTCATCGGAAAGCAGACAGGACATAACCACCTGCAACTCAATGTTGGAAAAACTAAAGAGCTACAGGTGGACTACAGGAAGAAGATCAGCCTCCCAACCCTATCAACATCAAGGGTACTAAGGTGGACATTGTGGACTGCTACAAGTACCTGGGGGTCCACCTAGACAATAAACTGGACTGGACAGCTAACACCAACACCCTCTAGAAGAAAGGACAGAGTCGCCTTTTTCTTCTGAGGAGACTCAGGTTTTTTAACGTCTGCAGGACCATGCTGCAGATGTTTTACCACTCGGTGGTCTCCAGCTTCATCTTTTACGCTGTGGTGTGCTGGAGCAGCAGGGATGCCATCAAACTTGATAAACTCATCAAAAGAGCTAGCTTAGTTCTGGGAGTGGAACTGCAGTATCTGACAGAGGTGTCTGAGCAGAGGATGCTGAGGAAACTGCTCCAGATCCTGAACAACATGTCACTTCCCCTGCATGACACACTTGACTCTTACTGCAGCACCTTCAGTCGTAGACTGAGACTACCGAGGTGCTCCACAGAACACCACAGGAAGTCCTTCCTCCCTGTGGCTATCAAACTTTTACACTCCTCCCCCTTTCTGCACATAGGACAATAAAATTAATCCTGTACTACAATAAACACTTTAATGTTTCTGTCTGCACCTGACTTGTTTAGAACCTAATTGGTCTTTTTATATTCTCTGTTATTTTTGATATCTTGTGTGATTCCTTGTGAATGTTCCTTTGTTCTGAAACTCTGGCACACCAATTTCCTGCGGGATCAATAAAGTTCTATCTTATCTTGTTCTTTGTACAGGTATACTGTAGTAGAGTGCTATATGAATAGATAAATCAGGGCATAGATTGTAGTTTAAAGTGCGTTGAGTATCGTGATAAGATAGAAAGGTGCTACATAAGCGCAGTCCATTTACCATTTCAGGGAATGTTCTGATGCATGCTCAATAATCCAGGTACAGTAGATAAATCTAACATGGCTGAGAGGACCTGACTCAACCTTGTTAGATTTATTCAGGGAAGTGAAGAAGTCACTTTGAGTAGGTAAAAATCGTATTTTCAATGATGGTGCATGCAGTTTTCTGATATTGCGAGTCAGAGTTTTTGGAAGTGGCGGAAATCAATTTCTGAAGATATTTATTCTGGAGAAAAGATCCATGGGGGAAACTACAGCAGCATCCAGGTGAGCAAAGAGCTGGGAGTGTGCTGAGTCCTGCATAGAGTTGAGCATTTTGGCATGGTTGTAGGAGGTTGTTGTACCCAAGAATGCAGACTGACACACAAGTAGCTACCCCCCCCCCCCCCCCCCACACACACACACACTGTTTTATTATAAAAGAAACAAAAGGGATGAAAATGCAGCAAAACTTACAAAATAGGGCAAACAGACGTGGCATGAGTAAGGTGTAATGCTCAACTAGGAAGAAGTGTGAACTGAAAGGCTGTATGGACATAAGCTGATGGAGTGGAAAACTAGGAACATCCGAGAGTGGGTTGGGCAGGAGCAGAAGAAGCAAAACAGACCGACTGAGAAGAGAAGGAAACACGGAGTAGAACAGAACGCAGAAAAGTATATGAACAAAAAGGATAATAAAATCAACAAACATAAAAGACCATCAAAAATAAACTACAAAACAAAGATCCTGACAAAATTACCTACTTTATTAACAAACAAAGTCCATGCTCAATAATCCAGGTATACAATCCAACAATTTTCAGTCAGGTCATCTGGACAGTTTCTTTTTTGGGGCTGAAATGTTTTGCCTTCCATCCACCACATGTGGTGGAATGACAAATAAAGAAACTTGAATCCTTAAAAAAATTCTCATTAATAAGTAACTCTTTGCTCAACAGAATCTGTATATCTCTTTCTGGTGAACACGGCATCACCTTTCTTCTTGTTCGTGTCAGTGCTAAAGTCATATTGCTTATAGTGATTCCTGTCTTCAAAAAACACAGTAAAGACATTTACGGGCGGTAGTTGTGGGATTTAAAAAAGGCCATTTATGTTGTAAAGCAGTGTTGCTTTCTTTTTCCTTGCCTGCTTCAGTGGATCAGCCAGGAAAAGTGAACACAGCTGAAGAGGAAGTGGAGGACGATAAAGACTTTCCTGATTTCAGCGCTCTCGGAGAGACCACAGAGAAAGCACTTCTGTTCCTGGACCAGGAAAATGGTACAGCTCGTTATAATCTGCCCCTGCTTCATTTTGTTTCTTCATAAAATCATGTCTTTTTAATTATAACATTTTGATCTTCTAGATGAAGAGATTCCAACAATAAAACATGGAGATACTGTAACCGACAGACGAAGTACCTTCCAGGCTCATTTGGCACCTCTGGTTACTGCCAGACAGGTAAATACATGTAATATGTTTGAACTCTGCTGTATAGTGCACTCAGAAAAACGTTAAATTCAAAACTAAAATTTAACAATAACCCGTTTAACCCAAAGTTAAGCTGCCTGATGGTTATTGATAAGAGTTTTAGGAAAAATGACTGAGCGCTGCATAGAGAAGAATGAGAAGGATATCAATCTGCAAATTTATGCAGCAGCTTGAAAAAGTAAAATATCCCTGTTCCTTTCTGCATGCTAATCTCACACTTTGCCTCGTCTTAAAAGCTTCCACCTGCTGCGAAGTGATATTTGGACGAAAAATATTTACAGATGCAGCTGTCCTGCAGAGAAAACTCAAACCAAAATAATCAAGACCTTGGCAGGCGAAATATTTTCATCTGCTCCTCTTCAAGATGTTATCAAGAAAAAAACGGCACGTTCAAAAATGGTGTTTTATCTAGTTTTAAGCCTTTTATTGCTGCCTTAATGAACTGTTCATATACTAAAGACACTGCAGAGCTCACAGTCTTAAGTATTAGATGAGGTGGTTCGTGCATCTGGTAAGGATGCCCCCTGTGCGCCTCCATAGGGAGGTGCTTCAGGCATGTCCAACTGGGAGGAGACCCCGGGGAAGACCCAGGACACGCTGGAGAGACTATGTCTTTCAATTGACCTGGGAATGCCTTGGGATCCTCCCAGAAAAGCTGGAAGAGGTGGCTGTGGAAAGAGATGTCTGGGTCTCCCTGCTCAAGCTGCTGCCTCCACGACCCGACTTCGGAACAAGCGGAAAACGATGAATGGATTGATGGATGGATTGAAATACCTTGTTATTCATCTAACAAGGTTGAGTCATATCCTCTGGACAGGTTCTTCTCTGTAGTAATGTTTCATCTTTTATCCACAAGACTTTCAGTCTGAGGAGCTGCAACAAACTCAGTCTTATAAACAGCACCTTCTCATAGGGTCAACCAGTTTGCTGGTGACATCCAGAACTAGCTGTAATGACTGATAGTTAGTGCCCTGAAGGCCGCTTATTATTCACAGAGGGCTGAGTATAACAACATTTTAGGAGGTGGACAGTTGAACACGTAGGCCTCCGCCCCGTTTAACGATGGACGGTTTATTTTCACAAAGATGGCCTCCTTTACTCCTCTCTCAAATCATCGTTCCTCTCTGTCCAGGATGTGAACATCTTCATCCCTGAAAGAGTGACCGCTGGCCTGGAGATGAGTGTAGACCACAGAGTCCTGGCCTGATGATGTTGATCTTCTGTGCTGGGCCATCCTTTTGGCCAGTGGTTGTTTAGTTTCCTCGATTTATGACTGATCACAGCCCTCCTGACACGATTCCTTCAGGGACACTTAACAAACAGAACAACAGAGAAAAGCCAGCCTGGCTGGCCACAGACTTTGTGTAGCTTTGATTTATGGCAGTGGCATCAAATGAACAAACTCCTTTTCATCAGAAAAACAGCCAGAAACAGTCTGAAAGCCTTGAATGGTTGAACACTCAAAATATAAATAATAATCAATCAATCAACCTTTATTTATACAGGTAAATCCCATTGAGCCCCGATGACTCATTTACAAGAGAGACCTGATTTCAACAAAGAAAGATGACAACAATGGACAACAGCAACAACAATAAACAGTTATAAAAAAAAGCATACTACAGTTTTTTTTTTTTTTTTTTAACAAATAGGATGGCTAAAAGGAAAAGGTAACAAAACAAAACAAACAAACAAAAAAAAAACAGCTAGATTCCAAGACAAATGTAGAAAACTAACAACAGGAACATGTCAGCATTGGACCCTGCCAGGTGTCCAACAGATTCTTAAAGACACTTAGAGAGGTCAAGGTCGAGAGCTTCAAATCTTTTTGTAAGATGTTCCAGGAAACAGGAGCGGAATAGGAGAAGGCCCTTTTGCCTAGTTCAGTCCTCACTGAGGGAACACTGCAGATAATAATGTCCTGAGAGCGCACTCCGTAGCTGCACTCACGCAGAGACATGTAGGAGGAGATGTATGAAGGCAGCAGACCAAGAAGTGATTTAAAGATGAAAATGTACCAGTGAGAGAGTCTGTGTGAAGTTAATGATGTCCAGTTAACCAGTGAATACAGTGTGCAGTGGTGGGTACGATAATCACAGCCAGTTATGAATCTTAGTGCACCATGATAGACAGCATCCAACATCTGCAGGGTTCTTGTAGGAGCGTTCATGTAAATAATGTCACCAAAATCAATTGAGGGAAGGAAAGTCACAGATACAAGACGTTTCCTAGCATTCAGGGTTAGACAGGATCTGTTTCTGAAAAAGAAACCCAGTTTAACTTTCAGTTTCTTTATCAAGTTTTCCACATGGAGCTTAAAAGAGAGATGTGAGTCCACCAAGATACCCAAATATTTATAAGAATCAACAAACTCAATGGGGACACCATTTGAGGATAAAATCGGAGGAAGAACTGCTGGGACCAACTTCCTATTTGAAAAAAGCATCCCTTTGGTTTTGTCGGCATTTAGGAGAAGTTTGAGGCGGAACAAATCTGTCTGGATGATGTTGAATGCAGATTTCAAAAGCTGGAAAGCCTTAGCAACAGTTTTAGCTCGACAATAAACAACTGTGTCGTCAGCATAGAAATGTATGGATGCATTAGGGATGTTTTTACCTATATTATGTATGTAGATTGTAAAGAGGGTGGGTCCTAAGACTGAGCCTTGTGGTACACCATTGTTGACTGTTAAATAACTGGAGGAAGTACCATTATGTTGAACACATTGCCTCCGGTCTGAAAGATAGTTAGAGAACCAACCAATAGTGTGTTCTGAGAAACCGATTTCTGAGAGTTTATGACACAAGATGTTCTGATCCACAGTGTCAAAAGATTTAGACAGGTCTAAGAAAAGTGCAGCACAATAATCCTTAGCATCCAGTGCTTCAACAACATCATTAAGAACCTTCAGTGAAGCAGTGGTTGTGCTGTGTTGTTTCCTGAAACCAGATTGATGTGGAGGTAAGATGTTAAATGAGTCCAGGTAATTTTTGATTTGAGAGTTTATCAGTTTTTCTAGAACCTTGGCTAAAATGCAGAGTTTAGAGATTGGTCGATAGTTGTTCAGTGAGGTGGGGTCACCTCCCTTCAGCAAAGGAAGAACAAAGGCTGTTTTCCAAGTGTCTGGGATGGAGTTTTGTCTTATGGAGAGATTGAAGATGTGGGTCACAGGGACTGTGATGATATGAGCAGCCAGCCTTAAGAAATAAGGTGGAAGTTCATCTGGACCTGCAGATTTTTTAGGGTCTTTTAACAGTTTATTGACCTCACTGACTGAGAATGGAGAAAAAGAGAAGCTGTGATTAACTGAGGATTGACTTGTAGGAGGGATTTGATTTGTAGAAGTTTGGTTATTAAGTGAAGTGGCTGATTATCCATTAGTAACTGTGTCAAATAAAGAACTAGAAGCAACAAAATGTTTGTTAAAACAGTTCATTATTATTTAGGTCTGAGGAGACCTCAGACATCATATTATTTTCAATTATTTTTATTTAATAATAAATTATTAAATAACACTGAAATAAAATGACAGTACTCTGTATGGACTTGTAACATCAATTAAAGGAACATAAAGTTCTGGAGCTTATCAAACGGACCAACCTAAAAGATTGAGTCTCTTGTCATCAAGTAATGAATGCCATTGGTCACAAGTCGTCTTATTTGTATTTTTTGGTTAATTGTCCCAACATACTCAGCACACAAAATGAAATACACCCCCTGGTGGAGATAAACACAGATAAACAAGATAAATGGCTCCTCCAGCATTCATGGCTAACAAACATGAAATAATCTGAGCAGTTCTGTGTCTGTATGCTGCTTTGTTTAAAACAGTAGTCCTGAGGTTGAAGCTAACTCCCCAAACTAACTCCCCAAACTAACTACCCAAACTAACTCCCCAAACTAACTCCCCAAACTAACTACCCAAACTAACTCCCCAAACTAACTACCCAAACTAACTACCCAAACTAACTACCCAAACTAACTACCCAAACTAACTACCCAAACTAACTACCCAAACGAGATGGTTAGTTAGTTGAGATGGTGTAGAGGTAGGGCAGCTGACTTTGAACCAGAAAATCACGGTTCGACTCCCAGCCATTCACACACATCGGTGGTGTCTCTGAACAAGACAACTATCCCCAGTTGCTCCCTCGGCACCTACACAGCTTCCCACTGCTCCACCTGTGTGTATCTCAGGTGTGATGGGTTCAATGCAGAAACTATTTTCATCACTGGATGGGAACAACAATCTCAGACTTCCCTTTCCTTGTGGAAGATGTCCAGTGCATATTATTTATGTTGGCTTAAAAGTCAGTCATTGCAAAAATAAATGATGTAACACTCACGATGACTTTGCTCCACTTTTGCCAGGAAAAAAAAAAAAAGATTTTCTAACTTTTACTGATTAGCACAACACGTCTAACAATGCATTTTGCTCTAATTTGTTCGTGCAAGCCTTTCAGCATCGATCTTTACGTGGGACAGCCATGTTGGATTTTAAGGTCAGATTTGGAGATGTCTGACTTTGTTAGTCAGAAGTTTGACTTTAATGTGTTTTGTTCATGTTCAGGAAACTCTGAAACTTAATTTATTTGTGTCAAAACAAAATATGTCATAAGAAATATTGACCATGCAGTATTGATCGGCAGCTATAACAACACAGAGCACCGATTAAAACTATGAATAAAATGCATTTTAAGTGCCAGATCAAAAATGCACTCTATTTACTTTACCCATTCTTAAAACATTTGCATGATAATATTTCAAAATGTTTTAAGAACTCATGTTCTGCAGTGTTAAATCTTGTGAATTGAATGTTCGTTGTCTCATGTAAAGCTTATTGAAGTTACAAAGAAAGAACTGAGTTTTATTTTCTCTTGAACCTTGCATTGCATTCATAATAAGATTTTATCTTTTGAACTCTCAGTGGTATTTATAGGAGCTGTAATTAGTCCCTCTAAATATTTCACTAATGCTAACTAATCTGCATTCATGCAGCATAACATTTATTTTATTTATTATTATTAACCTTTATTTAACCAGGCAAATCCCACGGCCTGAAGGCAGCCCAACATGCATGTTTTTGGTCTGTGGGAGGAAACCAGAGTACCTGGAGAAAACTCACGCAAGCACGAGAAGAACATGCAAACTCCGCCTTTCTGGGTGGAGTTTGCATGTTCTCTCCATGCGTGGGTTTAAAAAAAATATACATTAGGCTGATTGGTAACTCTAAATTGTCTCTAGGTGTGAGTGAGAGAGTGAATGGTTGTTTGTCTCATTTGTCTCTGTGTCCCTGTGATGGACTGGAGACCTGTCCAGGTGTCCCCCACCTCTCACACAGTGACTGCTGGACATGGACAAAAGTGACCCCCATGACTCAAAAAGGAAGAAGCTGGTGAAGATGATGGATGAATGTATGAACAGATGAATGGATGATGATGGATGGATGAACAGATGAATGGATGATGGATGGATGAACAGATGAATGGATGATGATGGATGGATGTATGAACAGATGAATGGATGATGATGATGGATGTATGAACAGATGAATGGATGATGATGGATGGATGGATGAACAGATGAATGGATGATGATGATGGATGGATGAATAGATGAATGGATGATGATGGATGGATGGCTGAACAGATGAATGGATGATGATGGATGAATGGATGAATAGATGAATGGATGATGATGGATGGATGGATGAACAGATGAATGATGATGATGGTGGATGTATGAACAGATGAATGGATGATGATGGATGGATGGATGAACAGATGAATGATGATGATGGATGGATGGATGAACACATGAATGATGATGATGGATGGATGGATGAACAGATGAATAGATGATGGATGGATGGATGAACAGATGAATGGATGATGATGGATGGATGGATGAACAGATGAATGATGATGATGGATGGATGGATGAACAGATGAATGGATGATGATGATGGATGGGTGAACAGATGAATGGATGATGATGGATGGATGGATGAACAGATGAATGATGATGATGGATGGATGGATGAACAGATGAATGGATGATGATGATGGATGGATGAACAGATGAATGGATGATGATGGATGGATGAACAGATGAATGGATGATGATGGATGGATGTATGAACAGATGAATGGATGATGATGGATGGAGTTCAGTTTACAGGAACATCAGCTGGGTTTAGTCTGTTACATTATATGTACACTGGATGTAAAACTGTGCTTAAACAAAACTTATGGTACTATCTGTAAGTTCGCAGTATTCTCTTAGTTTTGTTCACTTCTTACTATTTGTTTGTTTTTCGCAGGTTAAAATGGTTCTGGAAAAACTTTATGAGAACAAGAAGATTGCCAGTGCCACTCATAATATTTATGCTTACAGGTTGGTGATATATAATGTACACTTTTATAATGTACACTTTTATAATGTACACTTTTATAATGTACACTTTTATAATATACACTTTCATAATGTACTTTTATAATGTACACTTTTATAATGTACACTTTTATAATATACACTTTCATAATATACACTTTTATAATATACACTTTCATAATATACACTTTTATAATGTACACTTTTATAATATACACTTTCATAATATACACTTTTATAATGTACACTTTTATAATGTACACTTTTATAATATACACTTTCATAATATACACTTTTATAATATACACTTTCATAATATACACTTTTATAATGTACACTTTTATAATATACACTTTCATAATATACACTTTTATAATGTACACTTTTATAATATACACTTTCATAATGTACACTTTTATAATATACACTTTTATAATATACACCTTCATAATGTACACTTTCATAATGTACACTTTATAATATACACTTTTATAATATACACTTTCATAATATACACTTTCATAATATACACTTTTATAATGTACACTTTTATAATATACACCTTCATAATGTACACTTTTATAATGTACACTTTTATAATATACACTTTTATAATGTACACTTTTATATCCTGATGCATGCTCAATAATCCAGGTAGAAAAATCTAAAAAAGTTAAATCTGGTCCTCTGGACATTCAAAAAAACAAAACAAAGCAAATCAACAAAAAAATGTAGAAACGTTTCGTCTCTAATCCGAGAGACTTCCTCAGTCTGAGGAGCTGTATTCAGCTCAGTCTCTTAAATAGCACCGTCTCAGGGTGGATCAACCAGTTTTGCTGCTGACAACCAAAACCAGCTGATCACATGCTCAAGAAGGACCATCAGCCTAACAATGGATCATTAGCACACTGATGGCTGTTTACTGTTCACAGAGGGCTGAGTGATACTAGCAATCACAGCATTGTAAGAGGGGGACAGTTGAACACGGAGGCCTCCACCCCTGTTTAATGATGGACGGTTTCTTTTCACAAAGATGGCCTCCTTTACTCCTCTCTCAAACCATCGTTCCTCTCTGTCAAGGATGTGAACATCTTCATCTCTGAAAGAGTGACCGCTGGCCTGGAGATGAGTGTAGACCGCAGAGTCCTGGCCTGATGATGTTGATCTTCTGTGCTGGTCCATCCTTTTGGCCAGTGGCTGTTTTGTTTCCCCGATGTAAGACTGATCACCCTCCTGACACTGAACAGCATACACAACATTGCTCTGTTTGTGCCGGGGGACTGGATCTTTGGGATGAACCAGTCTTTGCCGTAATGTATTTTGGGGTTTAAAAGCCACTGGGACGTTATGTTTAGAAAATAAACGTCTCAGTTTCTCTGATACCCCCTCAACATATGGAATGACCACTGGTCTGGGTCTGGGTTCCTCCTTTTCACCTGTTGGCTGACTGAAGTCCTGTTTGGGTTTCTTCTCTGCTTTCAGGAAGGCCCAGTTAGGATATCCACATTGCTCTAGAGCCTGTCTTGTGTAGGATTTCTCCTTCTGCCTGGCTCCTGAGCTAGTGGGGATGCTGTCTGCTCTGTGGTACAGAGTCCTGATGACTCCTAACTTGTGCTCCAAAGGGTGATTTTATGGGTGATTTTTAAAGGGTGACTTTTATAATGTACACTTTTATAATATACACCTTCATAATGTACACTTTTATAATATAAACTTTTATAATATACACTTT